AGGTTTATATGTAAAAGACGAATTAGTGCACTTACATGGAAATTCATCGAGACATATTGTATTGATATTTCAACTAGGCAACCAAGCAAGCTCCGGCGCCAAAATTTTAGCAATGTATTCCTCCGCCACGCATAGCCCCAGGACAGTGGTGCCAATCTTCATGCAAGTCTAAGCCCGTGTCCGAACGCGTGAAAGTTTTGGCCAGAAAACTGCTAACTCGAGAGCTAGAAAAGCTAGCGAAAAGTCGACAATTTGCAGTCATTTCCTCCGTCCAGATAGAACACAAAGATTTCAGATTCAGCGCCCAGATATGTGTGGTTCTCTTCTACGGCCCTGTGAAATTTTCTGGCGGAGAGAACGCAAACTTGGAAACCAGAAAAGCTGAGGGGCTGAAATATTAAGGGGATGTTCCCAACCTATATACAACTTAAAGCTATAAAATTTAGCCCTGAGGTGGGTGTGGTTCTCACATACGACCCGCTCGAAAATTTTTGGCGAGAAAATTGCTAGATGGAATAGAATAGGAAGGTTCAACTTCAATTGTCCATGTCAAATCTACTACTGCACATGGTAAGAAGAGATAATATTTTAGAATATGTAATATAAGCAATATTACATGTTCATCTCTCACGTACTGAGAATATGAAGAAATGTTTGTCTGCGTTTCATCCGTTAGCTGTAAACACAGACAACTGAAGAAATGGTGGGAATCATCAATATAGCCCCCTAACCACCATGTGAAATAGGATCAGAAAAGAAAGAAAGCTGAAATTTTGAGGGAGTGTCCCCTGACCAAGTAACATGTCTTTGCACAATTAATTTCCTGAACCACGAGGACCAGTATGGCATATATTCTAGCTACTGGGACTCCAAGCAGTCTTACAACAGCACGAAATACTGCAGAAACGCATAATCGAACCGACCCACCCGATGCGCGTCGTCAATAACACAGACCGGACAACGGCTAATGCATATACAGGCTCGCTTATCTGGGTATCTGAAATAGCACTTATTGCTTTTCCACAATTAACAATATTCGACTGTGTCCCTTTATCGACTGGCCTACAGTGCCAAACAAACATCCATAGCTTACATTTTTCAAAAATTCCCAGAACACTTTAGCTTCTGTAAGATAAATGAGTATGCGTTGCCAGCAAAGCAGTTTGTATACGTTCTTCTCGCTTTGTGAGGACCCGGAGAGTGCAGTATTTTGGGAAAGTTTCGGATATATGGATCAGTGACTAAGGGCGGCTCACGATAATCTTCGCGGTAACATTAGTTGCGCAAATGCTCTACTTAGCAATTATAAATACTTTTAGTAACTCAAATGCTCCCCTTGCTGGGATCTCGAACTAGAACCGAATGTCAAAATACAGTACCGATTGATCTGAATCCCCTCGGTCATTCAAACTGATCTGTGCAAGAGTATGCTGGATTTTGCTGGAGGTGCGCAATGAAAACTTTAGTCTGACGCGACGCGCTATTCCTTTGCTGCTGACTGTTTCTTCGAAAATGCTGTACAGCTTTGATCGCGTTTGGAGGAAAACCTAGGCGGGCCGGTGCGATTATGCGTTTTTGCACCTTCCGTGCCGTAGCGAGATCGCAAGGAATCACAGTAGCTAACCCTGTGACATACTGGCTTTCGAAATTCGGGAAGTTAAATGTGCAACTATGTGGTATGTCAGTTGTAGGTGTCGACATTAGTGACTCGACAAACGGAAAATCCCTTATCCACGAAAAAGGCCG